GGGTAGTGGGGATGGAAATGAAGGTACATACTCTGCTTCCAATGGATCCCAGGCACCAGGGGCAGGGTACACATAGAGAGGGACGAAGATGTTAGCTTTAGGGCCCATGCTGTTCTTCTTGCGTAGGGTGACCACGACTGCCGGAGGTATAACGACCGCGAGAATGGCAATAAAAACAAAGACCCCCAAAATGATTCGAGAACGTCGGCTTTGCAGACAACGACGACCGCTCACGTGTTTGTCTAGCCCCATCGTTGCCAGGTTAGGGAGGCAATTTAACGCAAATGCCTTAGTCTGCAACGCAGGAGAACAAGAGAGTGGATTGCTGAGTACTAAATCCAGGCGCCGGAAGACTAAGAAATAAGTAGTCAGGTCTCGAAACCTAGCGTTCGGCCTTTTGCCTTAGTGGTGGACCTCCTGGTGAACCAGAAAAATACACGCCGGCGGGCCCAAAATAGAGCGGGGCAGGTCTCTTTTCTGACCATGCAGTAGTAGGTCTCGGATCATTCAGTGTCGATGTCGAACAATTTATTTCTCCCTGGCTTAAAACACATCCATTCAAGTCCTAGCCGTGGTTTTTCTCAACCTGGTGGAGTGCGGCTAGAAGTTCGCAGGCCACTTCGCAGCCTACTTTCCCTTCTGCCCCATCTGAGGCGAACTTTGTTCGAATCACCACTTGGATCTGGACTGCTTTTCCATACCAAAGGGCTGACGTTCTGGGATTATTTTCTTTTTTTTTTTTATTTATTTTCTTCTTTTTTTCTTTTTCTTTTTTCCCCCCCTTCTTTTTCCTATTTTCCTATTTTTTTTTAAAAAAAATTCGTTTTTGTCCTTTCTTTTCTTTTTTCCCAGAAAAAACAGGATAGACCAAAGAAATAATATTGGTAAATCCACTTCTTTTTTTTTTATTGTCCATCCTGTATCCATTCGCTTGCGATGCCCTTCGTTCATTGTAAATAAAAAAAAACCAGGATAAAAAAGAAAAAAGAAAAGAAAAGAAAAAAAAAAAATACACCGTCACAATATCTTTTGCTTGACCTTAGCTGGAAGCGGCGGTTACATCGGCGAACCAGTGGCAGTGTCTTCTTCCATCCAAGGAAGTATAAGATTTGTGCTTTCCTTTCTTTTCTTTGACGATCCAGTTCGGAAATCAACTCACACTCGTTGTTTCTCCTCTGAGCAACACGCAATTCTTCTCTCGTTTACTCCGGTAGTTGCTTGTGTTTGCCCGAACACCGTTCTGTTTGCTTCTCATCTTTCATTCACCTTTCATTGCACTTCGTCTTTTCATAAAAACCATCCAATAATGGAGAGCCCTCGACAGTCGGACGCAAGTACTCCCATGGAGCCTTGTTCTCCAGGGTGCGTCGATACACCAGCGACGCAGTCATCCGTCTTGTTCGATGGAAATCTTGAAGAGTTGCTGCGCAACTTCCCCCTGGATCAATACATCCTCGTCACCGGCGGTCTTGGTTTCATTGGAAGTCACACAACATTGGAGCTACTTAAGGCCAATTATAACGTAATCGTCATCGACAACCTTAGCAATGCTTTCCTGAACGTCTTCGATCGCATCAAAACACTGGCTTCGAAGTACCATGAGCAACAAGGAACTAAAATGCCCGAGATGCACCTGCATGCCCATGATTACCGCGACAGCGTTGCTCTTCGCAAGCTTCTTGAGCAATATCAGATCGAGTCCAGATGGGGTACGCCAAAGACCAAGATCTCCGGCGTCATCCACTTTGCTGCCCACAAAGCGGTTGAGGAGAGTATCAGGAATCCTCTGAAGTACTACGCAAACAATGTCAGCGGTCTCATCGACTTTGCCACGACGTTGGGTGAGTTTGGTATCAAGACCTTCGTCTTCTCGTCGTCCGCCACCGTATACGGAACTCTGGCAACCTCCGGTCTTCCCCTCAAGGAGGAGCTTTGTGTCCACAAGGATGAGATCTTCCAAGACCGCGACGGGTCCGAGAAACTCATGGAGCCTGGGTGCACAGGCATCACAAACCCCTATGGACGCACAAAATGGATCTGTGAAGCCATCTTAGCAGACCTCGCGGCCTCCGATCCCGAGTGGACAATCGTGGCTCTACGATACTTCAACCCGGTAGGATGCGATGAATCTGGCCTTCTCGGTGAAGATCCGAAGCAAATCCCTACCAACCTTCTCCCAGTTGTCGTCAAGGTCATGACTGGGCAGTACAAGGAGCTGCAGATGTTTGGAACCGACTGGGACACGGAAGACGGCACAGCTGTCCGTGACTTCATCCACGTCACGGATCTGGCTCGGGGACATATCGCAGCCCTCAGTGCTGCCAACGAAGGAAAGCTTAAGGAAAATTTCCGTACATTCAACCTCGGAACCGGCAGAGGCCATTCCGTAATGGAGGTGGTGAACACTATGGAAAGTGTGTCTTCTAAAGAAATCCCAAGAAAGGCTGCTGACCGCCGCGCGGGCGATGTCGGTTCCTGTGTTGCTGTGGCCACCAGATCAGAGGAGGAGCTGCAGTGGAAGACCGAGAAGACACTAACTGATGCCTGTGCCAGTCTGTGCAATTTCCTAGCTGTCAGCGGACTGTCCTCTTAGGCCACTGATCTCCTTTCACCTCATTAATTTTTTTCCCCCTCTCTCCGTGTTAATTTCTGTCTTTCTGTCATAGGGTGGCGCTTAGCGGTGTACTTTTCGTCTTCTTTGTTTTCCCCTTTTCCCAACCCTCGATAATGCCTCTTTCTTTTCATATTCAAAACATGCTGCAACGTTGGTTCTTCTGTTTTTCTTTTCTTTTCTTTTCTTTTTTTTTTTTTTTTTTTTTTTTTTTTTTCAACATCTTCTTTTTTTTTTTTTTTTGGGGCAAGGATTAGCCCGGGTTCCTTTTCATTTGTCTTCATTGTTGTCTTCATACCCCAAAGGCCTTTATAGAGCGCTCTATTCCCGAAGAGGAAAGCCTGTGTATTATGTAATCGCACGAGGGCGGTGACTTTTCTAGGCGGTGGCATCTGGCAGTATGCTCTC